TTTAGCTCAGCTACATCTCTCACACTAACCCCCCATTTTGATTCCCATCTCTGGGCATCTGCTAATCTGCTTTTGATCATCACAGATTGGTTTACATTTTCCAGAATTTTATAAATCCAGTGACTGATGCCCTTATAAGAAGTCTATACAAAGACACAGAGAGATATACAGGGAAGAAGGCAATGGGATGATGGAGGTAGATTTTGCAGGGGTGCAGGTACAAGCCAAGTATACTGAGAATTACCAGCAACTACCAGAAAGAAGTATGGAAGAGATGCTCCCTCAGAGCCTCAAGAAAAAACCAACCTTGCCAACACCTTCATTTTGGACTTCTAGTCTGAAAAACTGTGAGAGAGGTGCACCTGGGTGGCTCAGTCTGTTGAGTGCTTGACTCTTGATTTCAGCTCAGGTCGTGATCTCAGGATCATGGGATCCAGTCCCATGTCAGGCTCCTCACTCAGTGGGGAGTCTGCTGGAGATTCTCTCTCTCTCTCTCTCTCTCTCTCTTTGTCCCTCCCCACCTCTCTCTCTCTCTCAAATAAATAAATCTTAAAAAAATAAAAATAAAAAAACAAAAACTGAGAGAATAATTCCTGTTGTTTTAAGCCACCCAGTTGTACTTGTTATGGCAGCTCTAGGAAACTAACTAGTTATATGTTTTTTAACTTTTCAAGACTGTCAAACTGTTTTCCAAAGCAATCACACCATTTTACATTCCTATCAGCAGTGTGTAAGAGTTCCAGTTTCTCCTCATCCTTGCTGACACTTAGTATGGTCAGCCCTTTTAATTTTAACCACTCTAATAGGTGTATAGTAGTATACCATTATGGTTTAAATTTGCGTTTCCCTAATGCCTAATGGTCTTGAAAATCATTTCATATATTTATTTGCCATCTGAATAGCTTCTTGAGTGAAGTGTCTGTTCAAATCTTTTGCCTATTTGCTATTTGGATTATTCTCTTATTATTGAGTTTGAGGGTTTTTTATATGTTCTAGATACAAGTTCTTCATCAGATATATGATTTGCAAATATTTTGTCCCAGGTGGTGGTTTTCATTTCCATTTTCTTAACTGTATCTTTTGAGGTCAGCTAAATATTTGAGGTGCCAGTTTAGATGCAACTTTTTCTTAGAAGCCTTCTTAGAGCTTCAAGCCTTAATGAGAGGCCCTTCTAAGTACTTGTCAAGTTTCAGATACATCCTCATATCATGAACTGCATTGTACCCTATTATAATTGTTTGGCTACCTGTTTGTTTCTCCCCCTGGAATCTAAAGTTTGTGATCATGGGCAAGGACTCATTATGCCCTGTTCTTTGTTGTAGCCCCCGCACCAGGACAAAGATTGACAGAAGGTGCTTGCATTGGATAGTTTTGCTTGACTCTCCAGAATCACTGTCCATAGTTCTCCACCTTGCTCTGTGCTCTGGGAAGCTGACTTCTGTGGGCCCCTTGTCCACTGATTTCTGGTTGGGTTTGTCTGATAGGAAAAGAAAAGAGGGTGGGGTGAAGATAGAGCAGACTATTTATACTCTCAGCTTCCTCTCTGACAAACTTCAGTTTGGTAGTAGTTGCTGTCCTGTGCTGTTGGATATTCTCACAGGCATAGCTCTCGCAAGGATCCTGTGAGTGCTCCCTGCCCTTGTTCTTTTAATCCCAGGTATAGCAATAACAACTTCCAGCACTTCCTAGAAACTAGGTCTTCACCATCTTGTTTTGGTTCCTTTCACAACTGCCCATAGCTTTATAGTTCTTTCATTAAATCTTCACTATAAATAAAGACCTCACCCTTTCTTGCTAAGACCCTGATTCCCTGATTTCCTACTCAAAAAATATTTGTTAATTTTGACCCTCACCATAACCCATATCTTAAGTGAGTTTTAAATCCCTGATTTTCTCCACTGTCTTCACTCAACATAATTCAGGTTCTAAAGTTTTTCTTGAGTTTCAAATGACTCCAAACACTATATTCCTTTGAACCTCATTCCTACCTCCCTTCATTCACTCACTCATTCAGCAGAAACTTTTTGACAACTTACTAAGGACCAGGAACCATGTCCTTAGTAAGTTGTCAAAAAGTTGTCTCTGTGTCCTGCAGAATCACAGAGAAGGAAAATATAGTCAGTCCCCCAAGGAACTCACATTCAAGTGAGAGATATAATCAAATAACTAAATCTAATTCAAAGTGATACATTGAGCAATGGAGAGGTGTGCAAAGGCTTGAAGGCACAGAGCTCTAGCCACCCCATTCCTGGCTGTGGTCAGGAGACAATAATACAGCAGGATTTACCTTCCCACAAATGAACACTCTCAGGATGCCAGACTCTGTGCTAAGCACTGCACATACTTATTTAATACAGCAACACTATAAAGCAAATGTTACCATCTGCATTTTATACAGAAGGAAACTAAGGCTAAGGGAGCCTAAGTAACCTGCTGGTAAGTGGCAGAGCCCCTCTTTTAACCATCATACTACCCTGTCTCGTAAATGTAACACACACACAAGACCGAGGTATGGGAAAGAATAATTTTCTCTAAGGCTAAAAAGCTCTTTGCCACGGATTTTCACCTCAAAGCCATAATATTTCAGGAAGAGATGAAAAACCCGCTCTTTTCTGAGTCTTCTAATTGTTGAATAGGAAGCGTGGTGTCAGTAGCCCAGGAAGCTGTCATCACCATTTCTTCATTATACTAATTGCTCTTAGATGAAATATGGTTTGTTTTCCCTTTTAATCCTGCTCACACTCATAGCTCTGCTACTTTGGAATATTCTCTGCTTTGGGTCAAGGAAGGCTTTCTCCTTTTTTCATTATACAGAGGGTACAACTGAAGCCCAGGGCAGGTGACTGTCTCACCTGGATCCCACAACCAGTGGGAGGTAGCCCAAAGTCCCAGTGACTGACCTCATTTGCCAGGGTACCCCAATAGCTGCCCTTCGCCCCAGGTAGGACCATCTACTTGCTGTTGCTTATACAAGCATTTCTCCGCCAAACCATTGTATTTTTTCTCACAGCTTCTTCCCATCCTAGCACAGCCTCTTCCTCCACCCTTCCTGAGTACATCTAACCCTGCACAATCACTCTAGCTCTTCCTGATCTCTCTCCCATTTACTCTCCCTGCACTGCCCTTCACCAAAGACTGACAACACTATTACACTTTGCTACCTGATTATGCATGCGGATTGCACTTCACTGCTGTAGTAGATGCCAGCCCACTCAGGCCTGAATCACCTACTTTGGAGATATTCCCATAGCACACAATGTAGTTCTGAGGCCACAGGAGAAATATATGATGATTAAAGTCTCTACAGTCAGTATGCTAAAGGCATCCCTTTTCTGCATGTTTTCAGGCAGAGATGCTAACTTCTACATCTAATGATATGCAATTGACTCAGTACACACACTGGAAACTCTCATATTCTCTCAGCCTCGCCTCTTCCACCAGCTACCTCTGCAGCAGCCAGCCCTGCACAGGCCTCCCCCAGCTTCCTTCTGGGGCAAACTGACAGCACCTCACCTCTAGCCATGCCATGAACCTGTTGCTGTCTGTCCCGGGCCTCTGAGATGCCAAGGCATAGGACCACGCTTAAAGCTCACCACTGCCAAGAAAATGTGCAGAGGAGTTATTAACTCTAGGAGCACCTTAACCAGCAGGAATGGTAAGCCTATAGATAAATGCTTTCCTCTTTTCCTCATGACAGACTGTTCTGAGGCCTTCTGAAGTTCCTACAGGACTGAACACATGTTGCTACTGCAGTGGCCAAGGCAGTGGTTTTCCTTTCTTCCCTATTTCACTCTGGTCTTCAATCCCATTTCCTGCCAGGGATCTCATCCTAGGTTCTGCTTTCTGGGGAGCCAGGCTAAAACAGTGTATTAGTCTGGTTGAGCTGCCATAAGAACATATCATACATTGGGTGGTTTAAACAAGAGAAATTTATGTCTCATAGTTCTGGAGGCTCGAAAGTCCAAGATCAAGGTCCAAAGTTTCAGTTTCTGATGAGGGCTCTCTTCTTGGCTTGCATATGGTCACCTTCTTGCTGTGTCCTCATGTGGCTTTCCCCCAGTGACTACAGGTGGAGAGATCTCTCTCTCCCTCTTCTTCTAAGGCCACTGATCCTATCTAGGACCCTACCCTTAAGACTTCATTAAATGCAATTAATGCCTAAAAGTCCTATCTCCAAATACACTTCAGATTTGGGGCTTTGACATACGAACTGGGGGAGGAGGATGCAATTCAGTCTATAGCAGACACTGTCACTCAAAAACGTTAGTTTGATCTTGACCAATAAGCAGCTGAGAAAGGTCCTCCAAGATCCCACCACCTCCCCCCCCCCTTTTTTTTAAGCTCCCTTTCCCTCTCTCATGTTTTAATGACTAAGGTCAAGGTTCTATTTAGGAAAGGTCTTATATTAGCTTGTTCTCATGAATATTAAATGTTTCTAGTGTTCTGCTGGTTATTTGAAAGACTACGTTAGAAGAACTACATTCTAGTCTTTTCCTACTTACCAGTTTAGGGAGTAACTTTTTATTAGATTAAGGAGTGACCTAGAGCAAATAATTTTGCCTTTCCCGACGGCTTTACTCAGCTATAAAGTGGAATAACAGCTGTAAAGTGGGTTAACCCAGCTATTTTGCTGGGTTAGGGGGATCCAAGGAGATGGAAAGTGGGGAGATGGCATTTTAAAAAAAGAAAAGGAGCTCAACAATGGAAGAACCTTGGGGTACTTTGAGGGAGGACCCTGGCGCACCCCACGGATCTCCATGGTCCACATTCCAGAGTACTCTCAAAGCGCCTGGGTTCACAGAGCAGCTTGGTTTACTCTAAGCTGCTTGCTGCCAAACCTGCAGTGTTTACCAGAATGCGGGTGGTTTGCAAACCCAGATGTCAGATTTCCTGTCCCAGAGATTCTCAACTTGCTCACCCCCAACTCCTATCGGCCTCCCCAGGAAGGAGAGAGGGGGCTGGAAGCAGGCGGAGCTTGCACGGGGCAGCCTCACCACTCCTCTCTCCCCACCCCAAAGGCAGGAATTTCTGGGATGGGCAGATGGTCCACCGCCTCTTCCTCCTCCTTCTCCAAGCCCGAGTGAGTAGGGCGGGGAAAAAACCTCCGCAACGTCCCGTCTCCAGCCCAGAAGCCCGGGTGTCGGCACACTGTGGCGACAGGGACGACGGCGTGGGCCTCCGGGAGGCTGGGGTGGCAAGGCCCGGGCAGGCGTGGAGCACCGAGGGGGCTGCGCTCCCGCCTCCAGCGCCGCGGCCCCGCGCTCGGGCTTTGGCGCTGGGCCCCCGCGACCGTGACTCCGGGCGCCCGGCGAGCCCAGTGGTTAGCGATGCTGTTGCTGCGGTCGCTGCCGCCCCTGCTGCTTCTGCTGGGGGCGCCACGGAGCCTCGCCGAGGGCGCGGTGACCGCGCTTACCCCCGAGTCGGTCCTCGAGTGGCAGGGTGAGTGTCCCCGGGCCGAAGAGACCAGATCGGCACATTGCGGGCGGGGGTGGTTACGGCAGAGGAGGAAGAGGCGAAGCTGGGGGCGGGGAGGGGTGAGCATATTTGTATGGTGGCCGCGTCTCGGCAGTCCGGAGAAGGCCGGCGGATGGGCCGGTCCTGCACCCGGACGGGCCTCGCACCCCACTCGTCCCGCCCCGCATCCTCCAGCCATCCGCGGGCGGCCCCCGGCCTGGGCTGGAAGGCAAAACTTGACTACGCTCTGACCCGGGACAGGCCGGGCACAGAAGGATAGAAGACGTCTCGAAAAGTAGCCCCCCGAGAGTTGTTTATTTGGGAGGATCATCACTCAGAAAAATGACGGCAAAAAGATGTCCCACTTCGTCCCCTCCCAAAGCCCCTAGCCAGGCTTCCAGCCCTCTGCTCCTTCGGGAAAGAATACTTAATCTTTTCTGTTAATATCTTGCAGACAGAGGCGTGGAGCCTCTGTAGGCCATGAACTATGCAAGCTGGAGCAAATAACTCTCTTTGCCTCTCAGTGTCTCTCATCAGAGAAATGGGGTGTGTGATATGCAGAGATCGTTGGTAAGGCATCTGGCAGGCTTGTGAGCCAGAGTTCCTTCAAAGTCACCCCCACAGCCCATGTGCACACATGGATCAAGTCACCAAACATTTATTTAGCACCCAGTACGGAGAAGACTCATAAAAGCTGTGTGAAGAGTCATGAGGGGAGGTTGTCCTGCAGGGGCCCACAGTGGAGAGTAACTAACTGCATGCTGCCTCTAAGGCAGAGAGGCCAGTGTCTGAAACTGGAAGCAGTCCCTGTGTGAAAGGAGGAGGGAGGCAGGGGGGGAGATAAACCAGCAGGAGTCTCCCCGCAGCCTCTGTCCCTTCCTTTCCGCCTTTGGGGATAAGTTTGGAAAGAAGAGGTAAAACAAGGTGTGATCCATCCCTGCGTTCATTGTTTTGTTTTGTTTTGTTTTCCTTCTCAACTATGCCTACATTTTTGAGGTAATCTTTTCTGGACTGTATTCTCTAGCACTCCCACAAGGCTTTATCAGGGACAGGTTGAGTAATTCTTATTCTAAAATGGCCAAAGATCAGAGACCTCTTAACCTTCTTGGTAAATTCAATAGAAATGGTCCTGTGGGGGCACCTGGGTATCTCAGTCAGTTAAGCATCTGCCTTCGGCTCAGGTCATGATCCCAGGGTCCTGGGATCGAGCCCCACATCGGGCTCCCTGCTCAGCGGGGAGTCTGCTTCTCCTTCTCCCTCTGCCTTTCCCCCTGCTTGTGCTCTCTCTCTCTAACAAATAAATAAATAAATAAAATCTTTAAGGAAGGAAGGAAGGAAGGAAGGAAGGAAGAAAGAAAGAAAGAAAGAAAGAAAGAAAGAAAGAAAGAAAGAAAGAAAGAAAGAAAGAAAGAAATGGTCCTGTGGATGTACATCTGACCCCCTCGTAGGAACCATCTCCACTAAGAGTTTACCATACAGTGCTTTTTCCTTTACATTTTAAAATGTGCCTGAGTGCTAGTATCTAGAACAGGACAGCAGCGCATAGGACAGAAGCTGCACCCAAGCCACACAGAGAAAATGCACCAGTAAGCCTCTGAGCCCTGGTTAGCACTAAGGAGCTAATCCCTACTATATGTAGAAGCCCTAAATCCTGGCCTGAGATAGTTTCTAATCAATGCCTTCTTCTTAGTGGCCAAGGACACTCCGAAGTTAAAACCATCTGCTACCTCCTGTACATTCCAAGTGACAGTTTGCAAATCTGAAAATTTGACATAGTTGGCACAGAGATTATTTAGGTATGAAAATATTTCGATGCAAGTAGTTTATTTAGGAGGTGATTCTAGAAGACACAATGGAAGAGTGAGGAAATGAGACAGGGAAGGGGCTCAATTTCACAGGAGCCCTTCTCAGTGACTGTGAAGAACGCAGTGGACCCACTGAAGCGCAGGAAACAGAGGTATTCATCCACCAACTCCCGTTCCTCCCTGATGGAGGGTCCCTCCTGGGGCACTAATCTCCTGGTCTCTGGCCTGCATGGAGCACTGTCAGGCAAGGAGACACAGAGAGTCAGTCAGAAAATATGAGAACTCTGTCAGGTAAATGACCTCCAGGATAGGCTGTATGGATAACCAATGGAATCTGCTACTTACTCCCAGATTGGGAAGATAAAAATATGAGTAGAATATGTCCTCAAGAGGCTGAGAGTCCAGAGACAGACACAGAAACACAAAAAATTACAAAACAGTGCAGTAGATGTTAAGATCACAAGGAATGAGCAAAGTTCTAAAGGCATACTCAGAAGGTCTGGCCTGAGGGGCTGTGGATTACAAAAGGGCATTTATTTTCCTAGAAGATAAGTAGAAAGGAGATAGAACATTCTGGGGGAAAGCACAGAGGCACAGAATCACATGTTGGGCAATAGGCTGAAAGTTCTAGTCTAAGCTCTTTTGGATGGAAGAAAGAGGGCCCACGGAAGGTCACTCAGGCAAACATGAGGCTAGATATAAGGGCACTAGGATCTCAAGGGGGACCCAAGGACAGGCTCTTCTGTGCAGCCAGGCCTCCTGCAAACTGAGAACTGGCCTCTGAAATAAAGCAACTACTTTCTCTGTTTCTTTCTGTCAGGGGCTGCTTGCTGGTCTCTGTTTGGTTCTCTTTTTATGGACTGGTTTCTTCTTGCTTCTACTTGCAGTACCTTTCATGTGTAGCTCCCACAGCTTCTTTGGAAGAGCTGCCTAATTTCCTAGGAGAGGAATCTGGCCACACTTGTCATAGCATGTTGGCTCGTCCCTGCACTCTGCCCTTGAATTAGAGGCCTTCCATGGCTGGTAGGCTGCGATAGTGGTGTGAGGTGCACACATGGATCTGCTCCATCAGGGGCTGTGATTGAGTAGATCCCCAGAATAGGGTTGTGGCAGGACAAGAAGTTATGACAGATCAATATTCGGATGCATGCAAGAGATGAGGAAATGAAGAGTTTGGTTAGAGGCACTCTGCTTAAGGAAAATAAATTCCGGTGACGTGAACTGGGTACTGCTGAGAACAGTTTCATGAGTTCAGACAAAAGGGAACCAGAACACACTTTTAAGTTTAGGAATGCCATGGTCAGTTTGGGACTTGAAGAGGGTAATTATGGAGGTCAGCAAAAAGACCATGTGAGAGGTTAAATCGACTCTCATGAAGAAAGACATTGATGATCTGGGCTAAGTCAGTCACAGCAGGAATACTGAGAAGGAGAAAGGTTGGATTCAAGAAATATGGGTTAAAAAAGAAGAAAATTAAAAATAATAAACTCAGTGAAAGACATAGAAGAAATGGCAGAAGAGGAGGGACAGTGGTTATAAAATGGAAATAACAAGTTTTGGAGGTGGATCCTTTCTTGATAGTGACCAAGTCCAAGGTGTGGTTGTAGGCATGGTCACTGAAGTGGGGAACAGGTGAAAGAAGGTCCTTGGGACAGTGGAAGTTGAGGAACCCATCATCCACAGCAATACAGACATATGTGTGTGAAACAAAAGTTTCATTTAAAAAATACTATTACCTGGGGCGCCTGGGTGGCTCAGTTGTTAAGCATCTGCCTTCGGCTCAGGTCATGATCCCAGGGTCCTGGGATCGAGCCCCACATCGGGCTCCCTGCTCTGTGGGAAGCCTGCTTCTCTCTCTCCCACTCCCCCTGCTTGTGTTCCCTCTCTCTCTGTGTCTCTCTCTGTTAAATAAATAAAATCTTTTAAAAATAAATAAATAAATAAATAAATAAATAAATAAATAAATAAAATAAAATAAATAAAAAATACCATTACCTAATACGATGTGCTGCTACTCATCTACTCTGTTCCATTCCACTTCGTCTTGTAACACGGGTTATGACACACTACACTGATATCATGACCCATTCATGAACCATGACCTGTGGTGGAGAAAACACTGGGTTGGAGTATTAGGGCATCTGTGCAGAAGTTAAAGGCATTGAGGTGGAGAGGAGAACGGGGAGCCTGCTGGCATCAAAGTCATTGCAAATGTAAGGAAGAGGTTCAGGATGGTGTACCCCAGTGTTGAGGAAGCGAAGACCATGTGCCATGGGGGAGAGGTTTCTGAAGGAGGGTGATGAGAGCCACCACCTGGAGGCAGGAATGGGGAGACGAGGTGACCCTGAGATTTCCCCATAGCTTCCATTTCTGATACAAAGGTAACAGTGGTTCCCTTGACTGCTCCTCGTAGTAACTAACAAATGGAGAATGATTACTGTGTGCTATTTGACACACATTAACACACTGAGTCTTTACCACAATGAGGTAGGTACTGTTAATACATACCCTTCTTTACCGATGAAGAAGGTTAAAGAGTTTGCACCTATAGGAACTAGAAAAATGGGAATTCGAACCAGGCATTCAAGCACTAATGCAAAAGACACCCCCCCCCCCATAGCCTTATGACCTCACAAAATAATTCACTCTGTATCCTGTTGTTTGATGGGAGCATGTGATTTGATTCTGTGGCAGGAGGAACAGGAAGCCAGCCTCTTGTGCTCTGCAATTCTTCCTTTTCCAAACCAGTACGTCTACATGTTAAGGGTGAATATTTTCATAAAGCAGAAAAGCTACTGATTTGGGCAATTCCTACACCCCTGGTCAACGAGCCATTCTCCTAATCTAGAGATGTGGAATTTAAGTACAAGCCTGATCAGATACTGGTTTAGCTGTCCTACCCAGTCATCAATCACTCCCACCACCTGACTCTGTTCCTCCCGTCTTCATCATCATCTCTCAGAATCTCTTCCACTTCATACTTTTCTCATCCCAACTTCTCTGACTGGCTGTTTTCCTCACGAGCCTTTGAGAGTCAGCATAGACTTCCAATTTTCCTGGTGCTTTACTTTTTCTCATTAAGCTTCTAACCTCTTTTTATTGTTGGTTGTTACAGTAACTGATTCCACACAATGCAGGTTCCAAGCCAATGACCAGAACAGTAGAGTCACACAGAGATCT